CTAACCCTAACCCTAACCCTAACGCAAAAAAGGGGCTTGAACGACCGACGGCTGGCGTACCTCCAGCCACTGCGTATTATATTCTCGTTATACATAGAGCGCTTTTACAGCAATTTATTTAAAAGCAGCAGCAGGAGTTTTTTGCCGTTTGCTCATGAGTGGCACTGTGGTGAGTGCTGGGTGAACTTTGTCGTTACAGTCGGTCGTTGTCGCTCGCTACAGTGTGGCTGCGCCAGTCGCCGCGACTTTGTCGTTTGTCGTTACGGTCGGTCGCTGTCGCTGCAGTGTGTCTTGGCCTTTACTTTGGGGTGATACTCCATTAGGAGTGTTTCCAACTTTAATGTCATTAATGGTCATAATAACATATATATATATATGTGGTCATGGTTATATATTAGTTTGTGGTTTAATGTCATTTAGGGTTAGGGTTAGGGTTTGGGTTAGGGTTAGGGTTAGGGTTAGGGTTAGGGTTAGGATTATCAATCATTAATCACTAATCATTAATCATTAATGATATCAAAGTTGGGAACACTCCTAATGGAGTGTTAGCCTTACTTTGGCCTGAGAAAAAGTTCAATTCTCATACAACATTGACATGTGCATTATATACATTTGTATTCAGCATGTTGTCAACCCATGATTATAATACAATGTTGAAAAGACTGAACAAAATATCGTGCACTTTTAATGATATGATTTAAGTGATTTATTTTTATGATACGACACCTCTGCATTAGTTTTAGACTTACCAACATCTGTACAGCAATGATTCCTAAACACACAGCCATCACAGCTGCCATCAGTTGTTGATTTAGCATGAGGTACTTCAAAGCATCACCAAATACCAACCGCCTGTAAGAAAAAAATAGTTTGCTATGTTTCAAATTGTTTGTATCGAATGATTTGCTATCAAAACGTGAACGATTCTTTTTTAAATCGTGGAAGGGTTTTTGATAATGCAACCCTTCGCAAGTAAATCTCTGTAAAACTGCTGCTTAAATACTAGTTAGAGCATTCAAAAATTGCACATACTGACTCAGCACATGTGACCAAAGGATGAATGGCAGAAAGCAGTACACGTAGTACATAGGTGGGCTAGATCTGTCTGAAAGAGATGAACACAGAAGCAAAATATAATATTTCCATTAACATGTAGTTTTGGTGCATATTTATGTTACACACAGCAATTTGCATTTGCATAATTTAGGATTCTAGACAATGTATCAGCCGAAAGCATTTTAACTAAACATTTAGCAATAAATTCTGATAGGATGATACTCATACATAGCAGATTGGTTGAAACAAATTACATACCAGCCAGAAAGACTGAAACAGCAGCAAGCAGCAGTAACAAGCGAACGTTTTCTCGCAGTATATACAGCAAGCCTTCCCCATCGTGGTCATGTGCATTTCTCTGTGGCACGATGTCTGTGTGATGTTGCAGTATTTCTATCACGATGCAGGCAACCCAGCCAAGGAAACTCATCACAACACTGATGTTGAGTAACAGCCTGTTTATAAGGAAAACCACAATCCATACCATAATTTTAAATGACATGTGAACACATATTGCATACATTATACCAGAATTCGTTAGAATATAGTCAGAACAAACATGCATCATATTAACGAGTCTGCCTAGCTGAATTGTATTTACCAATCATAGGTCTGATAATAGTCCAGTCCAGACAATGCCAAATTAATCAGCTCTCTGCCGGCATTTATGGCTCCCTCATACTCCTTCTCCATCAGCAGATTTTTCACATTATCTTTTCTTGAGCTTTGTTCAGAAGCAGGAAGTAGAGGAAATGGTCTTGCCATCACAGAAAATGTCATATCTAGCTTTTGCTTCTCTTTAACCATGAGCTGTTCTGTAACCTGCAACGCGTTGGTAAACAAAGCGTGTGCTTTGAAAGAATCCGATTCTTCTAGATAGTCCAGTGGCAGAAGACCAACAGAGTTCATGCTGAAGGGAACACCAATCAGTGAGGACATGAGTGGGTTGATGTCAGCCTGATTCACGTCGGTACGTCGCACAGAGGCCAATCCCCATTCACTGCTATAATCATCCTGGGGGGCTGTTACTGTGGTTTTCTCTGCTGCACGTAAACCTGCTCCCCAAGCAACTAACGGAGTCAGCGTCTCGTGTGGGTGGCCTGCACCATGTGACCCTACAAATACCAAATACCAAACCAGTTATTTTAAAGGACGTCTGGTGTCACCATAATTGAATTTTCGTTAAAAAAACAAGTATAAATCTGCATATTACTGTAGGCATTTACCAGCTAGTATTGTTTAATTATTAGAAATTACTAACTTTGTTAGCAATGTATTTACCAGCATTCTACCAACATCTATTTACTACTGTAGTAAACTATCAAATTTTTGTTGTTAAGTTGCCTTTTCTAAGTTCCGGTTTAGTTATATGTTGAATACAACTTTAAGCTTCAAACTAATAATTGTAATATAAGTTTATATATACCCCAATTAGTCATGCCATGATCAGAGGTAAAAATATAAGCAGTTTTCTGGTCATGTTGAAAGTACTCCTCAATTTCATTGACAACAGTTTCCACTCCCTTGTCAACAAGGTCTATGTTCTCCATGTATTCCCTAAAAACACAAATTTACTAAAAAAATATATAATAACAATACGGATATATTCGAGGACTTACTCATTTACTAATATTGATATTCATCAAAACTTCCACACAAATATGACATACACAGAGTTGTATATATTTGCAATAGCCTATTTTTTACAAACTCTTTCAGAATGGTTTAAGATTACTGCATTATATTATGTATGGTAGATTAAAACCAACAAGTTACAAAAGTACCTAGACATGGGTCTGTGAGAGTGCCCCTGGGTATCTAGTCCAAGTAGGTGGAGGAATAGAACAATCTTGTCCTTGGACAGCATATCTGCTAGCGTTTCATTATTTCCTGCTGACTGTAAATGTTCCTGAAAAGTTTTCACATAGTAACAGAACTAGAATAGCAAATTTTATTCTTTAATGGAATTATGGCAATATGCAAGATGCCCTAACTAGGTGTTTGCATTGTTTTACTACTGTGAAAACCTACAGGTCTCAGACATGTATTTTTTATTAATGGAAGTTGAATGAATATATCCCACCATAATATATAGTGGTGATATCCGACCTAAATTACCTTAAAAGCATTCTGCGACTATAATACAAGGACAGTTGACAGCTTTCCTGTACGAATACGATATATAATGTGTATATGTGTATATAATGTGTATAATATATAATATGTCACACACACCTTCACTTTTTCAAATACCCAGGTATCAAGCACGGATGCATCCTTGGAAGCGAAGTCTTCCATGTCTGGCTCATACATATCAGTGAAAACATGGTCACCTGTTGCACCTGAAAAAACAAATTAGTCATATGTTGGATCACTTCCAAGTAAATCCAAAAACAAATGCAAGAATTCATAATGTCATTATTTATTCATCATCTCTTCTTGATATAGTATCAACTTTTTATCATAAAAAAGGAAAAACTGCTACATGTATGCAGCAAGAATATAATCAAACAAACTAGTACCTTTGGAAAACATTGGCAGAATGTCTGGGCTTCCCCAAGCCCAGGTGTATCGGCTTTCATTGAATAAGGTGTCAAATGGCACTGGGTTCTCTTTCCATCCTAATTTAAGAAAGGAAATGACACTATGAAATGTGACATAGTGGCAATACCTAAGATTAATCTCATATTAATTAGTCTGAATTATACACGGTTAAATGTACCTTTTATAAAATACCACCATACAAAGTGAGTTTTATCACATTTTTTTTCACTTTGTTGTTGAGATAACATGCAACTACTATATAGCTGACATGACCTATCTATGATGGAACACATGTAAACACCTTTACTTATGTATACACAATATTTATCCGATTCAAATGCAAGCAATCACTGCATATTCTATATTTACATGTTCACATGTCAAAAAGTACAAAAATAACGGTACCAGAATTGTCCTTACCCTTTGTTACAGCACTAACATCTTCATAAATACCAGCAATGATAGCAACATGGCCAGGCCGAGATTCTGTAGGCACATGTGTATGGGACACACCCCATGGACCCCTGTCTTCCACGATTTTCCTATGAAATACAAACAGCTATTTAATTTCATTACACATGTATATATTATGTAAATATGTTCACAGTTGATTGTTTCCCTCATTTAGGCAGGGTATTTCATCATTTAAAGGAAAACGGCCTAGCAGATGAGTACACATTATGATATTTATTTGATTTAAAATACTATATACCTACACATTTCTATTCTCAGACATTCACTTTCATTATTAGACATTAAAAGATATTTAAACCGGGCCATGTTATCATGTCATGACACCTACAACTTGTCTTGCCTTCTGATGAACTTGGACTTCTTAATCTTTATTTTGCAAGTTTTAGACTATGAGCTAAACACAAAAGTGTCCTATTTATAACCTAATTCCCACCTACAATTATTAGAAAGCCTACAAATATGGAAATGTGTATTAATTTGCATTTAAATCCCACCATTGAATAACATTTTATCAAAAATCATATCACGTAATAGCTTCAAATACAGATGGCTTTATCAACCATCTATTTTGTTGATGTGTTTACTTGAGTTAGCATATAGGCTAATTATAATTAGATGATGGGGTGCAGGTATACCAATAAAACATATATATACCTCAAATATTTTGCCGTTTCGCTTTTAGCATGCCCACCAAATAGCGAGTCTGCCCGCAGTCCATCTGCCACAAACAAGACTAGCCGTTTTGCAGGTGGAGATACTGGCAGTTGATATGGAGTCATGCCATGTACAAGAGGTGTGGTGAAGTAGATGTCAAATATCGAGGAAAACAACACCAGATGTATACCAATACAGAGGAAGACCTGCCATTTCTCCTTCATCCTTAAACGAAACATTTCTATTGTTTTATATACAGTATTTGCTTTTATATACAGTATCCTAATCATTAAATGTCTTAATTGATTAAACGTCTAACAATAGGCCTATAATTTTACAGTAACACTAGTATTATGAACTACCACTAAAGTAAAGGAAGGGATGATAAGATTAGAGTTCGGGATTACTAATTATACTAGCCTAGGTATACGTACAATTAAAGCGTGTATTGCGAGAATTTTCCAGTGTTTTCCCCACTTTTTTGATACCTACCGTTATTGCTTGAGTAACAGCAATTGTCTAGAGTAACAATAAAATGTCTTAGAACCTTCGTATTCACCGAAAACTGCCAGTTTCAAACTAATCGTTTTTGTAAACATTCGTTTTCTGTCATCTTGAACTAACAGGAAGTATGGATTAGCTTGTGGCACCACCGCTTATCTGCCATAACCACCGTACCGGCCCCACCTTTTTTTCAATTCATCACCGACACAAATACAAGTTTACCAATTCTGCCATTAGGCATTGTCGCGACACAATCAAATGCATTGCTGTTACGATGTGTTCATATCCAATTTTCTATGCTATAAGTATAACTCCATAAAATCTTAGTATTTTTAATGTGGTGTATATCAGTGATATTTTCCGCTGTCAGGTGAGACTAATATTCAGCTATATTAGTTTTCTGAGCAAAATCTCGGCAGTAGGGTCATCCGTGTCAGATGGCAGCCCAATGGTAGCACCTTAACCCCATTTCCAAAATTGGCTGAAATTGCTTTATGGGGTAATTATTAGGACTGAAAAAGCTGAAATTCAAGATTCAAGTCTCGTCGGACAAACGGTTTCAGCGCTATCGGCCAGCGGCCTTTTGGCAATTTGCGGCCCAAAATGACGCACCGCCGCCTGCAATTTTCAAATGGTCATGATCCTCTGTAACTACAGGCCAAATGCGTTAATATTGGTGTCTTTGGAAGCTAAATTGGAATAGGCCATCCAAATCTGTCAGTTATTGTTATAGTCGCGCAGTATAAAGTTTGATGACCTTTTGACCTTTACTTTGACCTTGAATTTGACCCTGTGGATCACGTAACCTTGAGATGAACTTTATTGAAAATTATACCTCAACATGTTTTCTACATAATATACAAAAATTAGAGATATAATATTTTTTGTTTGCTTTCCAGCTCTTCTCAAAGTTGGCATAGTAGGTGCAATAACGCCTATTCCTATGCAATGCTGTACATGTAGGCACATATGTATACCATTCCAATCTATTTCAGATATCAAGTTAATCCCAAACATTGGCTTTGCTGTACATAACTTGATTGAGAATGACAGGTGGCAATAACATTCTAAATGACTATTCAGTCTAATGAAAAATCATTATATTACCATGTTCTCAATTATCAATAATTCATTGATCATCAATGATCCAGTCCGGATGCACACTTGAAATCCTCGCAGCATCGTTTTCTGAGATAAAGTACTTTCTGGAAGAGGATGATGTAAGAGATGGGGTGTGTTGATTGTACACAGAATATCATCTTCTGTAACCCAGCATTGATCTGTTTCCAATGGCCATTTGAATTGCTTGGTAGGTCCATGAGGGTGCATGAAATTGATGTGGTAGTCCCCAAACTCCTCCGAAATTTCGTCCACCATGCCAATCCACGGAAAGCCGTCATAAAGACAGCAGACCAAGTTTTGTTCCTTTATTTCTAATTGCACAGATGGTTCTGGTTCTAGTTCTGCATCATTACTGTCTGAAACATGTACTAAATCCGCAGGGCCAGCTTGGTTACTCAACTTGTACACATGTAGCGTAGAGTTGGAGACTGGAACTAATCTGTGGTATTGCAGTGTCCCTTTAATAGTTTTCACCATGTCAAACCTGTTCTTTAACTCTAAAGCTGATTGAGTTACATCCTCTGGTGTCACATTGAAAAACGTGATACCAGGGATATTCTCCACGTAGAAATCCATAATTCCGTTCGCTGTCAGAATCTGGTCATTATATGGGCGCTGCAGGCTAGCCTTGGTGACTAGTCGCTTGACAGTCCCTCCTATACCGTCACAGGCACTCTTGCCATGTGATGTTGCAAAGAAGTTCTGAGACAGTAATGATGCAGAACTAGAACCAGAACCATCTGTGCAATCAGAAATAAAGGAACAAAACTTGGTCTGCTGTCTTTATGACGGCTTTCCGTGGATTGGCATGATGGACGAAATTTCGGAGGAGTTTGGTGACTACCACATCAATTTCATGCACCTTCATGGACCTACCAAGCGATTCAAATGGCCATTGGAAACAGATCAATGCTGGGTTACAGAAGATGATATTCTGTGTACAATCAACACCCCATCTCTTACATCATCCTCTTCCAGAAAGTACTTTATCTCAGAAAACGATGCTGCGAGGATTTCAAAGGTGCATCCGGACTTGATCATTGATGATCAATGAATTATTGATAATTGAGAACATGGTAATATAATGATTTTCCATTATACTGAATAGTCATTTAGAATGTTATTGCCACCTGTCATTCTCAATCAGGTTATGTACAGCAAAGCCAATGTTTGGGTTTAACTTGATATCTTAAATAGATTGGTATGGTATAAATATGTGCCTACATGTACAGCATTGCATAGGAATATAGGCGTTATTGCACCTACTATGCCAACTTTGAGAAGAGCTGGAAAGCAAACAAAAAATATTATATCTCAAATTTTTGTATATTATGTAGAAAAGGTAAAAATGTTGAGGTATAATTTTCAATGAAGTTCATCTCAAGGTTACGTGATCCACAGGGTCAAATTCAAGGTCAAAGTAAAGGTCAAAAAGTCATCAAACTTTATACTGCTTCTATATAACAAATAATGACAGATTTGGATTGCCTATGCAAGTATAGCTTTCCAAAGACACCCATATCAACCAATTTGGCCTAGTAGTTACAGAGATATAACCATTTGAAAATTGCTGGGTGCGTCCATTTTGGCCAAACTCGCCAAAAAAGGGCGTGGCGTAGCGTGAAAACCGTTTGGCGTTTGTCCGATGGAGCTGAAATTTGAAATTTCAGCTTTTCAGCCTAAATTACCCCATGCCCATAAACCAAATTTCAGCCAATTTGAAGTAGGTCAGGTGTAAATTTCCATTTTTTTTTGGTGATTTGACACGGAATGACCCAATACACACTTTAAAGGCGCACTAGAAAATACATTTACTTTTTCCATTGTAGGAGAGGAAGATCTAGAGCCTAGACTAGAGGTACTCAAGTCAAGGTGAAGGTGCTTAAATTGATAGAGATAGGCCTACTGTCAAAGCTACTAAATAATATTCCAGCAAAATTTATGAAAGATGGATTTTGGAAAGATGATTATTTGCTCAGCTCTTATATAACCAGTCATTACACATTTAATCAACAACATGTCATTCAACCAAGGGAATAATTCTTATACTAGTCATGAAACATTGAAAGCATACCACAATTGAATAACATGCCATGCCACGATTTATTGATTAACTTGAAGCATGGGCTGAATGTCACAAGTAATGTTGGAAACAACCACGTTTTATTTAGTAAAACGTTGGACGTATATATATTTCGCGATTATTTATTATCATCTAATCCCACAGTGAATGAAGTACCTTTTCGGCTTTCCTACTCAGGCTACTGATCTTTCCCATCCATCGACGATCGACGCCATGATCGACGCAGTGCCAGTGGTGCCCTCGTGCGTGCGGTGTGCGCACGAGATTTGACAGGCAAGTTGGGGCCATAGAAATAATACACTAGTTAATAGACTAAAATGTCTGTATAGATAGGTCATAGATACAATTATTTATTCATCAATGAATTTCTTATCAATTCAAAGACATATTGATAGGTGGCCTTAGAAGCGAGAATGCTGAGCCCGTTTGCCCGCGTCATTCTGCGTTTCCGACTGGGCGGCGCCGCGGCGCAACAACTTTTGGTAACAACAGCAACAGGAAAGATAGACTGGTTCATTTCCCATACATCAACCTACGCACTTACAGAGTAAGATGATTGGGGCCTAGGATCATGGAAAATAGGGTCCATCTAAAGACAGTTCTTCCTGCTACACGCTGAGTTTACTGAGTTAGATTTGTACTTTTGTAGTCTTTTGGTGAGTTATATTAGTAATAGTACTAACCTTTGTCACTAGTGTTTGTTACTGATAATATGTTTGCTGCTCTAGCACTTGAACCGTTTCAAGATTAAACTGGTAATGAATAAATACAAGTTATATCGACTACCAGTGCCAGTGCCAGTGGCAGTGCCAGGCAGTGGCAGTGGCAGTGCGGCAGTGCCACTGCCACTGGCACTGGCACTGCCACTGCCGCAGATGAGATGGGGTCGTTGTCGTATCAGGTACTAGTACTACAGATATGTACCCGAGGTAGTTTGAAGTTGTTTAGTATTATGTTTATATTTTTATATGAGGTATGTTTAGGGTTAGGGTTAGGATTAGGGTACACTTCTGGGCTCAGGGATAGAGAAGATGTCCAGTCCTATCTTATCAACTAACATCATCCTATCCAATCACCGTACTGTACTGTAGTACAAGTCTGGGGCCACACTTTGTGTATACATATATGTACCTCGGGTACATATCTGTAGTACCTGTTACGACAACGACCCCTTGAGCGCCACTGCCACTGCCACTGACTCGCAGCTAGGGCCTGCATACCTCCCAAATGGCCATTGGTTGATACAAATCTAGTTATTTTTTTAATTAAATATTAATTAGGGTTAGGATTAGGGTTAGGGTCACAATGCACCATAAACGTTTTATTAAAACAGGAGTTTCAGACATGTGATTTGTATCAACCAATGGGATTTGGGAGGTATGCAGGCCCTACTAGCTGCGTGTCTGCCACTCGCACTGTGGCACTGACACTCAGTCTAATAGTCACTCTCTCACTGACGCTCATAGGGTCAATGACCCCCAGGGTACTGCCGGAACGTACCCTGGGTATACCGGACCATACCCTGGTAACTATTTGATATGGTTAGGGTTAGGGAGTAGGCGTAGGCGACTATTGATCTTGATTGTGTACTGCGTCGACCGCGTATACGCGTATTATGACGCAGGTGGTGGGGCATGGTGAAATTAGGCGCTCTCGGCTGCGACCGCGACACAGATGGCGTCGATTACGGTCTGTGTGCAGGCATACCAGTCCACGATGGTCCGTGGAAAGAATGAGTTCTTGAATTCTTTTGTTGAGGTTCTAATGACTGCGAGTTTGTTGTCGTTTTTGCTCCTTGTGCGCGATGGACTCATCCTGATGTACTGGACTTTTGGGATCACAGTACTTCCAGAGAGAATTTTGTTGAGAAGGTTGAGTCGCTTCTCTTTACGGCGTAGGTGAAGATTCGGCCAATTAAGTGATTGTAACATTGCAGTTACGCTGTTGGTTCTGCCATAATCGTTGCAGACGAATCTAGCTGCGCGGCGTTGGATCATTTCAATTTTTTCTGTCTTTTTTTAAATGTGGGTCCCAGACTGTGCAGGCATACTCTAGCTTAGACCGAATGAGAGATTTGTATGCCGCTTTCAGCGTTTTGGGCGCGTATTTCAAATTCCTTTTGACGAAGCCAATGGTGCTGTTGGCTTTCGCACATAAACTATTGATATCTTCAGGGTGTTAGAGAGAATTACGCCGAGATACAGAGTTTACTCAACCTCCTGGAGAAATTTTCCATCTATTTCGTAGAAGTACGATAGTGTCTTTTTTTCCGTGTTGCACGCAGAATGTAACACTTCTGGGCGTTAAATCGCATGTCTCGGCCCAGGATTGAAGGATGGACAAGACTCCCTAGACTCGTTAGTAGAGTAGGCGAGGTACGGTCCGGCATATTAGATAGTACCAGGGACCCTCTCAGCGTCACTGACTCACTCAGGCATCTGGCTCAGGCATAGCTCTAGCACTGACTCAGTGCTCAGGTAGTGCTCAGGCAGTGCTCAGGTAGTGCCCAGGCAGTGCTCAGACACTGCATAGGCTATAGGTACAATAATGTAACCCAACAAGAGTAGTACCCTACTCTTGTTGGGTTACATTATTGTATCTACATAGGCTAGTGATCAGGTAGTGCTCAGGTAATGCTCTGGCAGTGCCCAGGTAGTGCTCAGGCACTGACTCACTGACTGAGCAGGCAGAAAACTGACTCACTCGGGCAGGAAAACCACGTAGACATCGAGACTTTGATTATGCATTTTGTGTTTATTCAGTGATTCACCATCGTTTTATTATTGAAACGTTCCAAGTGCCAGATCAAGGATAATTTGGGCCCTGCATATGTGTTTTCGCATATGTGCCTGTGATTGAGAGTAAGCATCAAACAACAGACTAAAGTTACCAATGAGATTGTGCAGAGCGATACCTCTCGCGTATGGCTTCATACCATAGCTAAATTGCTTTAATTCACGCTATATTGAAATAAGCACATCTAGATGATAAGTAATCATATTTAAAATACGTTTGTACATGGCTGTGTTGTGTTACAAATTCCCACAGTCATATTCAAATGAAATGTTGTTGCCATGATAATGTCTTTTGGATTTATTTCATTTTCCTGCAGGAAATACGTTATATTCTGTAAATACCAAAAGATGCGCCAAATTGAGTGGTCCATGTGGGCAAATGAACAGGCACTAACCAGTGCCTTGCGTAAGTATATATTAGACATATGTATATATGTATAGATATATGTGGATAACATGTGCCGATCATAGGGGTTCACATATGGGAAATACAGCAATTTCAAATGATTTATGGAACTTACTGCTTAATGCACACAATTCGGTCATAATTGCCAAATTATGCTCAGTTGGTAAAAATAGGCAGTGGCAAATTTCCATTATAAACCATAAAAATTATTTTTGTTGAACCCATGCATATATATTATCATGAACATATGAATATCCATATAAATATTACAGGACATACATGATACATATGTTCATAACAGTACGTATATTGCTTTTTTCAGTCACATTTATTGGTGGCGTTATGGGCATCACACAGGTTTTCAAAAACTGGGGATTTGGACTATACGGCATGTATCTTTTCATGTTGTGCACTAGATTCAAGAAATTAATAATTCAAGAAATTTATTATTGTATGTTTGTATTTGACAATAATTACTATTAGCTGCCAATAAAGCAGAGCTAGGATTTTTAGTCTAATGTATATTATTGTAATGTACATCATCTGAAATATCTTATTAGCATAAGTTAATTATTTGGAGCTTATTTGGATTATTTTAATTTCGAGGTTGGAGGAATAACAAAATAGTTGATGGTAAATTGCACAAGTTTAAACTCTGTAGAGATTACTATTTCTTAAAAGTGTAACTCTTCGTATATAACCTTGACCTAGCCCAATAGCATAATCAGCATACTTGTTGGACTTTTCGAATATCCCCGGGGCAAACGCATGAAGGGAACGACAAATGAGAGAATGTGAGTATATCTAGAGCATTAAGCTGGAATTAGTAAGGCTATTATCAGTATAGGTATCTTGCTGCTAACCATTGGCTTTCTTGTGACTATAACCAGTTGTTATATATTGCAATTGGGTGAAATGCACTCTGTTCCCACACTTATACATGTGCACGTTTATAGCTCATGTTAGCATGCATTTTTATGACAGGTATCAACGGTTCATCACAGTAGCTTTGAGCAAACTTGGATTTTTCAGTCAGAACTACTTCATCCGCTTTATCTTATATATCTTGTAAGTACCTTTACTGTGGATACATTCATCACCAGTGTATTGCTTCTTTGTTACTACACTACTCCAGTTCTATCCCCCCAAGGCTGTAAACAGATCTTATAGCATAGGCCAAATAAATGACCAAGCCTTGTTGACTCATTTTCTAAACTTGACATATAACTTGACAAGTTTACACATACCATTTTTCAAGGTTTACTTTGATCAAGGGGTCATTTGCATTTATATAAATTTGATTAAAATATTGTTTTCTAATATAGTAATATAAGTTAATTATTTGGAGCTAGTTCCACCCATGCATATTTTAATTTCGACTTTACTAATATAGTAAGACCTCTTACAGAATGTTGGATTCCATAGTCTAAAAGCAGTGCAAGACACGATAATGTAAATGTATATAACGGAAATCATGGAGAAGCAGTCGTAGCGATTTGAAATATAATTAATTATATGGATTTTGTAGTTTTTGTTTATTATTTCAGGATTGGGGTGCCATGCTGTTTTCAACTTCCGATAGTACTTGGTGGAATATGCTTTTTTTGCACAAGTATAATTTATTTTGTGGTATGTACCATCTATCCGGCTATAGACAGCATTTCTCCTGCTCAGCAAGAAGAACAAATTCACACTGTTCGATATTTAATATTTTCTGCTTTGTTTTCTTTGCCAATTTGACTTGCAAGGCTGGAGTTTGTCTAATGTTATGTAGCATGTTCTGTGGTTAATAGTATGTAAAAATATGGATAAGGTATACACACATAGTTGCATACACATTTTAGGTTAAAGGTATAGTAGTATATAGGGAAAGTATATACGCAAATTTATATACTCTAAAATCTCTGTCCTTGTTTAAAAAGTTATCTTCATTGTGAACTTGTGATCTATTGGCAGGCTGCAATGAAAGGTGAATCATGGAAACCTGCGGGTCTAGAGAAACCAGACAGACAGGGTAGCCAAGTGGTTGCTGGTGTAGTAAGCAATCCACCACCTGTACCCCCTCCGCGACTACCAGAGGATGTGGCTCAGTCTGTGCTTCAGAGACAGATGTCTGGTAGGAGAATCTAACTACACTGACCTATCGTACAATGAACAAAATCTTCACTATAATTCTAGTCACTGCTGATGTCATAACTTACTTTTGATTTTCCTGGACGTTGTACTGTAATTGCAGTGGATCTTGACCAGTTCTTGCTGTAGCTAGAAAACAATATTTTAATCAAATTTATAAAATGCAAATGAACCCTTGATCAATGTAAACCTTGAAAAATGGTATGTGTAAACTTGTGACTAATAATATTATTATAAACATATAAGCCTCGTCTACAAGACGAACCTTAACTCGAGTTAAGCGTCTACACGGGGCCTTAACTCGAGTTAAGGTAACTCGAGTTAAGGTAACTCGAGTTAGCGTTAACGCGAGTTAGCTTAACCTCGCCAGTCTACGACGCACGCACGTCTACGTGCACATGCACACGCGCGCACACACGCACGCACGCACGTGTACGTGCACACACACGCACGCACGTGCACGTGCGCACGCATGTGTACGTGCACACGCACGCACACACTCTTGCACGCACGTGTACGTGCACACGCACGCACGCATGCAGGCACGCACGTGTACGTGCACACACACGGACGCACGCACGCATGCACGCACGTGTACGTGTACACGCACGCATGCACGCACGTGTAGGTACACACGCACGCACGCATGCATGCACGTGTACGTGCGCACGCATGTGTACATGCACATGCACGCACGCACACATGTACGTGCACACGCACGCACTCACGCATGCACGCACGCACGTGTACGTACACACGCACTCACACACACACACGCACGTTTACATACACACGCACGCACGCATGCATAATAAATCGGTAATAATCGTTATCGGGTGTTGTCGTGTAGACGCTACATAATCGCTAACTTGAGTTAACGCTTAACGCTTAAGGTTCGTCGTGTAGACGAGGCTTATACATATACTTATCTATGTTCATCGTGTTACAACGTGGACGTACTTGACTTTGTAATCGAACAATAATTGTGCAATTGGCAAAGAAAGATCTCATAACTATAATTCATGCTCTATTGATATTCGCATTATTTTTGAATGATAGGCTTATATTTGAAGTGATCGGTAGTTATAATCGTGTTACTGTATGAGTATAGCGATTATGCTCATGCAGAGGAATAAAATCAAATGACCAAATAGCTTAGAAAATTTCATTGCATTTATTTTCTATCAGCAGGATATCGTATAATACCCTTTCTGATTCAGATGTTTAATGTGAAATCAATAAATTATGGGGTGTTTAATTGAAGTACAGTTTCATAGTTTTATAGGACAGTGTATGTTGTTTATATATATACATATATATATATATAGATATATATACTTGTATATAGTGGAATATATTTTTCAAACTCTGAATACCTATATAAATGTATAATTGAGTGTGAATATCTATAGAAATATATTTTTAATTATATGCCATTATGAATATAATTTTTTTGTTTTTGTTATTTTATAATCATCTTTAAGATATTATGGTTATGTGTGTGTATGTGTATTTGTGCGTGCATGCGTGCGTACGTGCGTACGTGCGCGCGTGCAAGCCAAGAGTCTTAGATCACGATATCTGAAATACAGGGCATTCCACTCACAAACACAAATTTTGTTACAGTAGTCAGTTGGTACAGAAGAATGATGAAATGCACTTGAATCAACGGAAATTAGAAGAGTAGGTACACTAGCACTGCACCCACCCATAAAAATGGAGAGGTAGGGTGTATAGAGCTAGAATGAGACAAAACGTGAACAAAGAAAGATGGAGCAAGAATAAGAGAAAACAAAAGGGATAAGAAAATTTATCATCAGAGTTGTTAGAGCGAACAGGCTAATCCAGGAATATGGAAAATTGAGTGAAAGTCTTATCCCTCGATCATCTGCCACTGTTCCTTATTACCCTTTATCATCAAGAAGATGATATAATCGTAGCAGGAGTAAGATACTATAGGATCCTATATCTTACTCCTGATCGTAGTGTAAGTACATACTTACACTATCATCTATTATTTTGCATTCACTTATTCAACCTGTGATCTTCTCAACTTCTTTCTGATATTATGCGTATATAATATATATATATATGTAAAAAATATATCGTCGTTGTCTATTGTCTCCTCATTTCTCCCTTCTTTTCATTATCAATTCGTACCTTAATTGCTCGACTCATATCCCGTTATCTCCTTTTTCTGATTGTTCGACTTTTACTATTCTTTCCCAGGCTAGCCGCCCCCCTCCCCCCCCCCGTCCCATTGACTTCCCTGCTCTGACTTATATTCCTTCTCTCATCTTTCGCTCGTGGCTTCCCTGTTTACTTTTCCTTATAGGACAGTCCCTTGATGTGGCGGAGCTGATAAGGCTCGACCACTGAGTTGTATATAATAACGTCAGGAGTGTATAATATATATCATAATCTATATTATACACTGTAACACTCCTGATAACGTTATAATAAATCTGAGTGGCTTGGCAGTGTCCAGAGCTAAAGTTACGTTTCTGGCCAGGAGAGGGCGCCTATGGGTAATTAGGAAAGATGGCCGCGCCCATACACATAATGCAAAGTGATTGCATTTGGTAATTTATCGTGTTTGCTGTAGTTTAGAAATAGTTTTCTCAAAATATTGCAGTGGCAACAATCTTACAGCCCGGTCTCAATGTTTTCAGCACTTGGTCACGCTAATTTAACCATCTATTGTATTGAGTATTGAATTTGTACTGCCCGGGCATAGACTACGAGCTTGTGGAGCAAGCCCGGGGTGGAACACTACTGCTGAGAGGGTCTATGTCTCCCGGGGTACTGCCAGAACGTACCCTGGGTACGGTGGGGTATACCGGAACGTACCCTGGTACTATCTAATATGCCGGACCGTACCTCGCCTACTCCACTAACGAGGCTAGGGAGTCACCTATGCCTACTCCCTAACCCGAACTCTAACCCGGCCTAATCCTAACCCTAACCATATCAAATAGTGACCAGGGTACGTTCCGGTATACTGGACCGTACCCAGGGTACGTTCCGGCAGTACCCTGGTGGACATAGACCTTATGAGCAACACTACTAGTACTGTCACTAGAGATATGTTATAACTTATAATTATATCAGGAGTTAATGAGACAAAGGAGTTTGACTCGTATTTGGTACTGATTTCACTACATTTTTGTCGTACGAGTTCGATGTGAATAACAATACAAATGTATACAAACATGAGCTTCTTTTGTTCACTGGTCCTGAATTTTTTATTCTATCTTCTGGTAGTATTACAAACCGCGTAGCTTCCTTCGTTTTGACATAAATCATACTTTGGCACGACATGGTTTTCACGTTATTTACCGTCGTGTGGCGTTGCCAAGCCGCAAATTCTCATGCACAGCAACACGAAGGAGGCGCAGCAAGGAATTTAGGCCGTATAGTCTAGCCGAGTGCAGAAAATGCGCTTAGAAATTACGCTGTGGCTATATGCCCGGCAGCCGGGCATGGTCTTCGATTTCCTAAATGCCCGGCAGTTCCTAACCCTAACCCTAACCCTATCCCTTGTTTACTTGAGATAACGCTGAAAATTAAAAACCGGGCATTTAGGAAATCGGAGACCGTGCCCGGCAGCCGTCAGATATATGCCAGCTGCCGGGCATATAGCCACTCTGTAGAAATTAAGTTGTGCCCATGCTGGGTTTAAAAATTTAAACTATTTTACATTTAAACTATAGTTAGAATGCTTTGTTTTTATGGTTGAATCCAGCAGTTTTTTTTTTAATAAACGCTGCGCTGGTAAAATATCTGAACTACTTCACCCGCGGAGGAATGATGTGTATGAATCTTAGCGGGTAAATTGACGCTCCAGCTGATTGTAGCTTTTCGCATATGTGTTTTGCATAGCAACCGTTACTGTGTAATTACAGGCAAACGCATGTGTTTACTCCTTACTTATCATCACCAATAGTATGTGATAAAGGCGAGAGTTAACGTTGTCATCACCCGGCTTTGTTAGCCGAACAAAAACTTTTTCACGAGATAACGTACGGGAGACACGATCCCTGCCGCGCCTCCTTCGAGTTGCTGTGCATGAGAATTTGCGGCTTGGCAACGCCACACGACGGTAAATAACGTGAAAACCATGTCGTGCAAAAGTATGATTTATGTCAAAACGAAGGAAGCTACGCGGTTTGTAATACTACCGGAAGATAAAATAAGGACCAGTGAACAAAAGAAGCTCTTGTTTGTATACATTTGTATTTTTATTCACATCGAACTTGTATGACAAAAATGTAGTGAAATCAGTACCAAATCCGTGTCAAACTCCTTTGTCTCATTAACTCCTGCTTATATATATAGACCTGTGGAGAGCCATGGTGAAACGAATTATTCCTGATTTATGAGCTATACCAGCATCACTATTGCTAATGATACCGTGATCGCATGTATTCTTTGGGATATACATGTGTTTATCATGATACATTTTTGATACATTTTTGATACATATCATGAATGAAGTGCTACATGTTTTGCAGTTGCTGTGAAGAGTCAAAATGTCAGGAATATGGAGCAAAGGTGTGAAACGTGGTTTAATATACATGTCACTGCATAAGTTATGAAACGGCTAGTCGCTGCATGGTGCTAGGTGAACTCAAATCTCTCATCTCCAGAAACATGGTTCTACAAAAACTATATGTTACAAGGAAGTTGTGCTGGGCCCTTGTACCTCATCATTTGCCAGTTTGGAAATTCCGATGTGGTGCATTGAGCTGTGTAAGAGCAATAGGTTCGACTCACCAACGAACAGACTCAATCTTTGTCAAAGCTGCACATCATGGAGATAAAGCAGCACTCGTAGATAGCCATGGTGTACATACATACAAGGATTTGCTCAAGCGCAGTGAAGCCACTGCCCAGCGCATACGCCACGCACTGCGTGAGCAGTTTGACATTAAAGAAGCCAGGGTGGCAGTGCTTTGCCCACCTGACGTCTCCTATGTCACAGCGCAGTGGGGATGTTGGATGGCAGGAGGAGTGTTTGTTCCCCTACATCACACCCATCCAACACCTCAGCTAGCGTACTTCATCGCTGACAGTCGGTGTTCCATCGTTCTGACAACAAAGAAGTTCAGCCCTGCTATAGAGAGCATCGTGGAGAGTAGAGGACTGCAGATCCTCCATCTCGATGAGGAAGATCAGGTTGAAGATGCCGCTGCGTCGGACATGACGTGTCAGAGGCAGCCGCTCTTAGGTTTAACTGACGAGGAGTATGCTTCTAGAAGAGCAATGATAGTTTACACAAGTGGAACAACAGGTCCGGCGAAAGGTGTTGTGCTGACGCACGCTAATCTACAGGTACTTGCATATTCCCCTGCCCAATATGAGCATGGCCATATCATTGATACGTATACACATTAACGCATTAATTTGTCATGTTTGGTTTTTGTTATTTATATGATAGTGGGATCTGGTCATATTCTATTAAAATAATAATGGTTTTGAGATGAATGGCCCATTATAGACTGTGTAAAGGGCATCACATGGGTAGCTCTTGTCAAATTACTTGTTTGTGATTGGGTATTAAGAAAGTGATAGTTGTCTGAACAGAGTTGCAATATAAATTTTTATTTCAGGCATCGATGATGAGCATGATACAAACATGGAAATGGACAAGGAATGACGTCTGCTTGCATGTGTTACCTCTGAATCATGTGCACGGTATCATCAATGCTCTCATGACACCACTGTACTGTGGCGCCACCTGTGTCATGCTGCCTGAATTCAATGCTCCCAAAGTAATTGCCCACATGTGGATTGTGGATAAATCTTTTGTAATTAGCGTGTTGTTTCTTAAAAAATAGCAGTATTAATCAAGATCTATATGTGTGTCTCTATGTATTCATGTATTTTGCTGACACTGTAAATGAAAGTATTTTGATATTTTTTGTCAGTATACACGTACTATAATGTGTCTCGCAGTTATTGGTTATGTTAATATTATACATTCTGGATTTATTAATAGGTTTGGTTTAAGTTGCTGTCGACTGTAGACACCGAGCACAGAGTGAACGTATTTCATGCTGTGCCAACCGTTTATGCAAAGCTCATTGAAGACCATGAGGCCAGGTTCCAATGTGGAATCTCCATTAGGAGGGCTCACGAATATATAAAAGCTATTTGCTCAGAAAAAGTTAGGTATGCACTCGTCATGTATGGATGTCAAACCGTGTTCGTTTCACATTTTGTGATAATTTACATTGATCATAATTTGCCGTAGATGGATTTGTGCCTGGAAAGTTGTCATTTTTTAGTAGGATTTACATCACTGTATGGGACTAAGGGAATACTGGTGGTCACTGGTTAGATATGCATTTGTCTTGACAACTGACTAATGGTGTGTAGCGCTCAGAGCTTTTTGAGAACTGCTGTCACACTGACTACTAACAGATAAAAAAAGAAAGGTGAACAAAGATGTCAGATATTTGAGGCCCCAACTGTCCTTGCTGCCAATATAAGGATCTATGTCTATGGTTATTTTTTTTACACTTATAGACTAATGGTATGTGGGTCAGCTGCTCTACCTCAGCCAATCTTGCGCAAGTGGAAAGATATTACTGGCCATACACTTCTGGAGCGATATGGAATGACAGAAGTTGGCATGGCACTGTCCAACCCTTTACACGGAACCCGAACTCCTGGTATATGTTTAAATACTGCTTTTGTTTGCACATTGCAGTCGTTTATGTATGCAAACATACTGCATCAGATGCTCCATGTAAGAGGATAGAACAAAGCAAGATGTTTATTTATGAACATCTATTATATTGTTGTTGGTAACCAGCTTATTATTGTTAAAATGGGATTAGAAAAATTCGCACATGCCTAATTTGTAAATTATCACCACTCCTCATATCATACCAAACGAAAATTTGCTCTTATGTAATGATGTAAAATAATGCATGGGTTTCTCTACTCAATAAGTGACATACTTATCATATTATGTAAAATTAATTTAATAAATAATTTGTGATGTCGTCTTTGATACATGTTTAAAAATGTTTACTTCCATCCATAATTGTATCTCTAGTACATTTTTAGCTGAAAGATTTCCCATAGGAATGTATATCCAATTCCATGATAGGAGTTAACGAGCAAACGCTATTCACATTACGGATTTTTCCATAAGGGATGGTTTTTCTAGAATGCATTACTTTTGTAGTGTGGCGTATTATTGTAGGAAATATCTCATACCCTGGATAACAGTAGATTGGTGTATGTGCCCTGATATGTAGCGAACATTGCTGTTTTACTTACGTTTCTATGTCAGTGATCAACTGTATCACCTGCAGTTATGCTTATGTTAGGTTCCGTGGGAAACCCTATGCCAGGAGTTGAGGTGTGCATTGCAAGACCCAACTTTTATTCTGCGAATGGTTATGATGCGATTTGCCATGGAGACGACCGAAAAACTGTAGTAGCAGAAGGAATGAATCATGAGGTATATGCATGATTATATGTGTTACTGCGCACCTTAATCATCTCTTTTTAATCAGTGCTCTTTTTAATGTATTATTAAGCTGTCTATTCTTTACACTAATTGTTACTAGTAATTTGAAACCTTGGAATTGAGGTTGTCCAGCTTTATGCAAGAGTTCGACAATACCAGATCAAAATCCGATATGCCATAAGAACTGTAATGTAATCGTAAACATGCAATGATGTTTACTTTTATTGGCCATCCCAGTGATGTACCAAATTAAACTTTATTTCAAAGGTTGGTGAGCTGTATGTTAGAGGTCCAGCTGTGTTTAAGGAGTATTGGGATAAACCTAGCGAAACCGAAGCAGCTTTCACAAAGGATGGATGGTTTAAAACAGGCGAGTACTATTTTTCAATCATTTGCCATCACTAGAAACTAGTGTTTGCCTATATTTTGTAATATATCTATATATATTTAAAGTTGTTCAGCCGAATTAGTCCGTACTCGCATAACTAGAGAACTCTGCAGCCTAGAGGAAAATCTATATATTTAAAGTTGTTCAGCCGAATTAGTCCGTACTCGCATAACTAGAGAACTCTGCAGCCTAGAGGAAAACTAAAGATATTTTCAGAATCAGCACGTCTGGGAGGAAAGCATGAAAATTTAAAAAGTTAAAAATTGATAAAAATTCTATTCATCAATAGATGGCGGTGCGTACAGATTAACATCATGTACGTGTGAATCCATGGTGTGTACCCTTAACGGCGCAGTGGCGTAATTGCTAGAACATCCGTCTCCTACACCTGGATTTCGAGTCTGAGCTGGGGAACTTATTTTCCCCTTTTTTCCTTTTTTTCCCTTTACCTACCTCTTTAGTATGTATTATTTTTACTTTTTTACTTTTTAATTTGTATTTTTTATGTTTAATGTCTTATCTTTTGATTTCTTATTATTTTTTACTGTTTTGGATGGGATGGGATGCGGTGCGATGGGATGGGATAGGATGGGATGGGATGCGGTGCGATGGGATGGGATGGGATGCGGTGCGATGGGATGGGATGGGATGGCATGGCATGGGATGTCATGGCATGGCATGGGATGGCATGGCATGGCATGTCATGGGATGGCATGGGATGCGATAAGATGGGATGGGATGGGATGGGATGCGGTGCGATGGGATGGGATGGCATGGCATGGAATGGGATGGATGCATGGATAGATAGATAGATCGATAGTTAATTTTTTTTGGGTATTTTCCTTTCAACCAAGCGGTCACCAACTGAGTAACGCCACTGATTTCCCCGGGAAACGCCGGGTATCCCGCTAGTACTAAATAATTGTATAAACTCATCCCTGTGGGGTGAGTGTGTGCGTGCATGCGTCATATTGGAATGGCAGTCATTACATGACATAACTATACTTCACATTGTCTCTTTTTTTCTTGAGTAACTAATGTGACCATGCTTATTACGTGTTAGTCTGTTATATCTTTTGTGATTTATATGCACAGGAGACACTGCCCAATTCGAGAATGGCATGTACAAGATTCTTGGGAGGACGAGCGTAGACATCATTAAGAGTGGTGGCTACAAAATAAGTGCACTGGATGTGGAGCGAGATCTATTGCAGCACGTCAGTATTGTGGAAGCAGTGGTTGTAGGGTTGCCAGACATTACGTGGGGACAGCGAGTTGCAGCTCTCTTAGTAATGAAAGACGGTGTGTGCATCACGGCCCATGACTTGAAAGCGTGGGGAAAGAGTGTAATGGCTTCTTACAGTGTTCCAAGCATCGTTAAATGTGTGGAATCTATACCACGCAACAACATGGGGAAAGTTAACAAAAAGCAGATTCAAAAAGAATACTTTCCAGAGTACTTTCAGTAATCAACACTTTTAGCAGATACGCACACTGTTAAAAAGCTTGGGAGTTTAACAGAAATTCCCAATTTTGTAAAATAAGGAAATAAACAGAACATGTGTCTTTTCAATAGACTAGTTTATTCCAATTCAGGTTCAAATTAAAAAAATGTTTATTAATAAATAATTAGTATTTTAACACTGTACAACGACACAAATGCAAGAAATAACACGTTACAGTACATAATTATCATGTGAACCACAGGAGTGGTGAAAGATTCGCAGGTCACTGGACTCTCCCACTCCTAGGAGTATGGTCACAAGTTATAGGATTGCAACTGAGTCATAAAATTCTGATAGTAGCCGATTAGTAATGCTGTAATTAACATATGAAAAAGAGCATAATCAAAACAAATGACAAACAACGAAAATCGTTAAATGTATAAATAAATGATATATGATAACATAATAGCAAAATAACCTGACCGCTTTACTGATACAATAGATCTGTTCTGTGCAATAGTCCGAAGTTACTATATAATATATAAAACAAAACAAAAATAATAAAACGGTTAATCTTCAATATAAAACGTAGAAGTATTGATATATTTATTATATATTATTTAATTATTATATATTTATGTATTATTTGTATATTATATGATATTATCAGGAGGTTTGACGGTACGCACAGGCGTGAAAGAGAAGGGTAGGATAATAAGTAAGGGAGTAAATTAGAAAAGACTGATAGTAGGGGGACACGATGTTCCTTTATTAACAAGATAACACCGGAGGTGAACAAACAGGTGCAACGTGGGTTAACTCACACCGGCGCGTGGGTTAGCTCGTGGATTCCTCCTCGACGTGGGCGCGTTAACCCTATTCATCATCCTCCTGCTCTTATGCCTCGCGCAGGCGTCTCCATCTTCCCTTTGTCTCTAACAGGTGCGTATTACTCTCGTCCTCAGAGATCACTAGGCTCTTCACGGCAGATAATTTCGGCCCGCGTCGTCAAGTATCCACTACGTGACTAATGGAATACTAATATTTCCTCGTGCCGTCATCAAGTATCCATTACGTGAGATTATAGTGAACTTCATCAAAGTTCCGCATTGATGCTAGCGTGCGACGTCATTGGCATAGTGACGTATATTCTTAATGACATAAATATGTTTCACTGGAATATAATTTAAGTATAATATTGGTCGCTACAGTATAATGTAAAATAATGTAGTAATGTAATGTATATTACCAAACGATGAACAAACAATACAAATTACAATTTACAATACTGATAGTAGCATTGCAAATTATAAACATAACGTCTGGATCAGTTATATATAGTTTCAGGAGTATATCAATATATCAGTGTATTGATACACTCCTGATAGTTTTGTAATAGGTTATCTCTATAACACTGTTTAAATTTTGAAAAGGGTATAACTTTTTAATATACATTAGTGATCAGTCCAGAGTTTCACAGCTGTGAATGTTATTGACTTATATCCGAGCGTATAGTTATCGTAGTACACAATATCGTGTTTATAACGCATTTTGTCTACTCAAACGTAATATATAAATATATATATATATATATATGTATGTATATCAATGAAAGTAAAACATACTATCATAGTTGGTGCGTTGCGTATAATAAGAAATTAACAATTTCGCCTCATCCAACATTCAACTCTGAGCAGCTACAATTCAACCATGCTATATTTAACGGTTACATAAACTACGGTATCCGCCAAGTCAGTATGCATACACATCAGTGCGTAAGCGCTCTGAGCATATAGGGAATTTGATTTTGCGACACATAGAAACTGCTGCACATACAGCACGCAACTGGGCAAATTCAGAAACGAAAAATGCTTTAATCGAGTTTAAAATATACCTTACAATGAAAACGACATTAATCCTCCGTATATGTATATGTGTGTGTGTGTATATATATATATATATATATATATATAAAATATATATATACATAATATAATTCTCAATATCAACATCAAGACATCAAAAATTGAGCACTTATAATGACTAGGCTATAGTAAAATATTAAGATAATAATAATAAAATCTAACTATATGGATATATGCACATATAATTACAATACATATAGTGTTAATTTCTGAATACAAAAATTCCAGATAAACAGCAGCGTGCGTGCGTGTGTGGGTGTGTGATGGTGTTGGCTTGGTATCCCATGTGAACCCAATCCAAACCGTTTCAAAGAAATAAAACGTGCCAAATGCAGGCCCGTAGGCAGTTTTTTTACGGGAGGGTGCGATCCAACGAGTATACGGACCTAATACCCCATTCACACCAGGGCCCTGATCTCAATACGCTCGTACTACGCTCTAAGAGCGTGGTGGAAACGTGTAGAACGCAGTATGAACGTATATGGACGTACTGCGATCGCGATCGAGCGCGGTGCAGTCACCATGAGCGTGGAGAGCGTGGCCAAACTTTGAACATGTTCAAAACAATCGTGGTGCGAGCGAGGCGAAAAGACAGCGCAGTGCGGGCGTATTAGAGACGTGGAAGGCGTAGTACCCACGTAACTCGAGCGTAGTACGACCTTAATGATCGTATCGCAAGCGTGTCGGGTGCGTGAAAATTGTCGCCCCGTTCTCAGCACGATGTCAATACGTTTTCATCACGCTGTTACTACGTCCATGGAGATGTCTCTGCGACCTGACCACGCTCTCGCTATGACCATGGTGCGTCTCTAGCAAGCTCGACCCGTTCGCACTACGATTGTACTACGCCCAACACGCTCAGACCACGCCGTTGTGGCGTTCGCATTACGTGTTAGTTACGCTCAGATCACGTCCTGCGAACTTGGGATATAAATTGGGGTGCTACCCTGGCCACCCCACCAGTGTCCACTATGGATGAGGCAACACTACTCCATGTCATGTTTCTCGTAGAAGGACAACTCGAATTACTTGATTGCCAAGCCCTCATCATGCTGAGGAGGATGAGGAGAAGAAATAGAAGTATTTTGGCGGCATAGTTGTAGCATACTATTATACTATTATGGGTATAAAATCAGTAGAAAATAATCTTGATGTGTACAGCACGGCAGAACGAATGATGATGTCTAGAACGCGGCGCGGTATTTATATGGTCGTTGCCAGCGCAGTCGGCGCCTGCCTAGAGCGGGATTAAGTCGCACTAGGAGCGTGACTGGCGCGCAGTTGAGGCGCGGTGAGCGTTGATTAGGCGCGGTGCAAGCGTCGTTTGAACGCAATGCGATCTGATTGGTCGCAATAAAGACGCAGTGAGCGCAGTGCAGGCGTGATGCGGGCGTGGTGAAAGCTTGTTAACGAACACCGGACGCGCCAGTCTCTAGGGGGGTCCGGGGAATTGTGAAAATTAGGTTGTCTGAGACTGCATTTCGCGCGTTTTGAAGGCAGTATGATATGAAAACAGGCAGCCAAAAGCGAACCTTAAAACGTGGACATTTCTCAAATTTTTGAACTTCAAAATGGATTTTTTCCCACAAAAACGTGGACCTCCACAGCCTGTGTGTGTGTGTGGGGGGGGGGGGGGCACCCGTCGCACCCCCCTTCCCTGCGGGCCTGAAATGTACGTATGCACCTATATATCCTACATATTATTACCAGGAGTTATTACGGGGTTTTATATTGATATTGTGGTATATGTCCTATATTTTGGTAGAAAGAGTTAAACGTTTTACAAAGCTCTGTCATGTCTGCTGTTGGAATTTTCTTTATTTGTTATTTCATCTGGAATAATGGAGGTTTTATTTGTTATCTTGATAATACTGTTAATGTTCTTTCATGTCTTTTTTAAGTTGGACTTACGTTGGAGTAGGTTTTCTTTGTAATAATTTCTTTTAGCAAGTTCTTTGGTGTGGTTTAATCTGTTTGAGTATTGTTTATAGATTCTTGTGCAGAGTTGGTAGTATCGCGTAGGTGCATGGCAGGCTTGAAACATTCCCCCCCCCCTTTAATCGAGTTTAGTAGCAATCTATAGTTTCTGGTGGAGTTTCTTTTCCTTGCGCGATAGGATTATTACGTACTCACGTTATTACGTTATTACGTTATTACGTACTCACTAATGGTTGACCTTCAAATCAATAACGTTATTGAATTGCTACGAATTTCGTGTTGTACCAAATACAGAAGATAATGATATAACAGATGCACGTGACAGTTATGTATGACATAAATTTTATTGTAAAATAAAACTTTTGAAACAATGTTGATACGGTATGATACAGATCCATATAATTAGACCTACATATAACTGTCATGAATTCTAAATACAGCTGATAAATCACAATAACTTATTGACAAATAAACACTGACAACGAATACACTTGCGACTTGCATGAAAACAAGTCACCACTACATTAAATCGGGAGTATTCTTCAATTGTATTTTACACTGCTTGTTACAAAGTGGAGGGGGAACTGTTTTAATAGACTATTGACGATTTCTTCGTAGTAGCATTTAATCAGTAGCATTAACTATTCCCCAACCACCATACTTACTTCACATAGCTAACACCAACCTGGAGAGCCATCGAAAAAATGTCCATAATAAGCTGGAAAGTTGAGTCATTGCGAGGGGCTGTTACATTGGAACCATGCAGCAGTAGCAGCTAAGCAACTTTTCTTATTCAACGAAAAACAATTTAACCAGTTAAATATAGATCAACGAGCATACAACTGCAAGTATCAAAGAGCCAATATTAGCAATCATGCTTGAAAAACAATTGTTAGATATCGACTGAACCCCTAATCTGTTTCTACTCAGAATAGCTGTTTTGATCTCATAATTCAATTTTCAATTTTCACCAAATTACCTGCTGGCTAGAAGCATGGATAATTTAATTCGTGGTCAACAGTCAACGGTGCTGTGCTGGAACAGATTTTTTTCCGTTCACGCGTGTTAATGGGTGAAGGCAGGTCTGAACTTGTTAACAGGGTAAATAGGATGTTTGTTTCTCCCTAATCATAATCACCATCGCATTATTAGTTCGGAAAGAAATGCAATTGAACCCGATGCCGGTCACCCACTATAGTGGATTTATTGTTAAAGTTCTCCAACCAACATTAATAATAGTTGATTTCACCTAGTCTACTTTACAAACGGGACCAGCTAGCTCACACTAGTAACGAAGGTTACAGATTCAGTAACTGAAACAAACCTGCCCTTTACATTTACATCTGTACTGTGTATTTGACATGTGAATGCACTTACATTGAAATCTAAGTGCACAAACCTATGAGTATAAGCAAGCATACGACAACCACCTGATATTTCCGTGCAACAGCATACATTCTCTATCAAGCATAAAAATCTTTTTGACCCAGGGTTTAAACCTTTATTTACACAAATACACTTATTTACAAACCCCTTCGGCAAAAATGGCTGATACATGTTTTGAAGTGAGCCTACCAACAGCTATTACTATCTACATAGCTATAGCAACTGTGCACAACGGACAGCCTGCAGGGAATACTTTTGAGGCCTACCTGACTTTTTACCTGATGTGTTCCGTTGAACACAAAATTAAACATATTGCACAGACCAAACTAACACAACAAGTGCATTGCTTCTTGTGAGTACCCTTAAACAGAAAGCCACAAATGGCTTCCTTAACTCAGGCAAGTTCCATTTATCCACCTAGGGCTCTGTATCAAGTACCTGACACCTATACAATGTTCTGTACAGATGTGATGCAGGCCATACATAAACATGTTTAACACAACAACATTCATGAACGAACATATATGCTTAGATGGTGCCAAACTGATTTTAGCATTGTCAGAACAGATAGTTAACAAACTTTTAAGTAATGTATAAACATATGTAGAAGGAACTCACACAGGGGGGTTGGCCCAGTGACCTGAAATACTTTGCATTCTGGTTCAACAAAACCCCAAACAAACTGTACTTGAACAATTAGTGTAACGAGGGTAGAGTTGGTCCAGCTGAAATAATCATAAGGTTTACCTGAGGACTCATGAGATATGGTCCATGCCAGGACTATTGAGAGTTGGTTCAATTTAAAACTCAACTTAGAATCGTAATATTGCAACTCTTACGCTGTTTTGCTTTAAGCATACTTGACCACATGTTGTTGATAAAACAATGACTAGAATTAGCCATGTGGCAAGCTGTTTAGGTTTAAACATGCAGGAAACTCCACATATTCATTAGGTCATTACGCTTGATCATATCTACTATTTGATCAACTGGCATAAATAACCCTACAAAGTGAGTTCAGCGACAAAACATCTTGCTACGCCTTCACACGACCACTCGACTACACCTATGCGCTTTACACACAATTACAGAATATATAAATGATGTGTCTAAACATATTTAACAGAATAGTGTTTCCTGAACAAAGCCAATTTAGTATATACACTCTGGGATTGTCCTACCCACACATGGCATCTAGCAATTTACCGACAGAACTATGTATAAGACTCGATCTATATCACTCGTGTCACCTGCTAAGCTCAGTATGTAATATGACCACACCTGGTTTTAACCTGTTTCTAAGGCTGTTCAGTAAAGTGCTCAAGCTGCAAGCTTGATTTTTGTCCACAACCAGCATTTTCCAGCATCTATCACTACGATTCTGTGACAAGAAACTCTTTGCAATGGCCAACTGTTTTATCTCTATATGTGTCTAGCTACACATATGCTACACCCAAGTGGAAGTACTAGCACTCATCAGAAGATTCCTTTAACGACTAGTAATGGATACGACATTTTTTATCTACATTCGCCCTGGGTTCGTGTCGAGGCCTTATTCCAATGTTTGTAGCAAGGTTTCAGCAGGCAGATTTATTAGTTGAATCACAGCATCCAGCTTCTCTATATATGGTTCAGTGCCATAGATACTGATCGCTTAGCGTGAGCTCTCCGAGCTTGTCGAGTTTCTCTGCTCTGTTGGCGTGGCAGAGCGTGACACTGCGGACTTAGATGATGTGATGGAGTTGACCGGACTCGGGCGAGTTGTTGTGCTGGACGCTGGCTCGGCGTGCTGCCCACATACCTTGTGGTGATTTTCCCAGTCCTTGTGCTGGCAGAAGGAGCCGCAGTATCGAGCCGTGTTACAACCGCTGCACGTCTCGCTGGCCTTTCGACCGCAGTTCCAACAGTTCTGTGAATAAGAACAGCCATGATTAGATACTTTTGTACATTTGTAGGTTGACCCTTGTAACAATCTTCCTCGTTATCTTCTCGGCTGTTTCACTGCAAGCGACAGATCATAATTATGATTTACTCTGCCGGAGTAATGTCGGAATGCAACCCCCTAACACTAACATAAAATACCCGAGTAAATCTTCAGGTTTTGTACCCATGGAGGCGTAGACCTCTTTTTCAGCTTTGCAAATCTGCGCAACAGTTTACCTCACTTGTATCTTCCTGACTGTTGACAAGAGTCATGGCCTCCTCGGTGGCTTCACGGCGGGCCTGCTCTATCGCATGCTCCATCTTTGCTCGCTCCTTCTGTATCAGCTCATTGGCTTTCTGCTCTGCAGCCGCTACCGCCTTCTGCAGCTCTGACACAGCTTGACGTTTCACCTCACTTACTGCTTCATCTGCAAATACACATGCCATAAGATATGTTAGCTTTCAGTATTTTATGTACGAGTACAGACAATAGCTAAGTACTGTAGATGATATGCTTTTCACAGCAGATATTCAGCATTTATTTCGCAGGTAGGTAGCGGTGGTGTAGCAGATCTGAATTTTAAAGTTCCCGTCTGAACCGAAACTGGCCGGAACTTGAAAAGATTTGCCCAGATAGTTCCAATTGAAAAATTGGGGTTCTGGCTCAATCCAAAATCTGGTGCAACCCTAAATTTAAGGCATCCTTGATAATACAGAAGTGGATTTATATTGAATGGGGCACACATCTTTGCAGCACAGCCCCGTACATAAGCGTGTAACTTGAAAATAATCATATAGTGAACATCAATTCGTTGCCAGTGGTTTAACAACACAAATGGCACAGCATGATAGTATGATAGCATGGCCAGCATGATAGTATGGTGCTGACACCTGGTGAGCGATTTTACCATATATTATTATAACACATTGTAGTAACCATGCAGTGTCTATCAACAATGATGGGATAGCTCTAATTATATGTTTGATCTCTGCTATTATAACTACGTAAGGTGTCAGTGTGATTTACCTGCTCTTTTCTTTACGTCGAGTTCAGCACCTTCTGCATGTCTCCGGGCCCACAGTGCCAATTCTTCTCGATCCTGAACGGCACGATGCTGCAGCACAGACAATGTGCGTTTTGTTCTCTCCACCATGCTCATGATGCAGTTTAAAGTCTGTGGAGCGAGAGAAGAACGTATTATATTATATATAGCATAAAACCAATGATTAGTGATTTAGGCTTTGTTTGTTTTCATACATGTATTGTCAACCTGTATCTCAATTTCACCATTGAATTATTAGCTGTATTTACTCTGGAAGCACTGACACGTATAGACATAGTTCTCCACCATGCTCATGATGCAGTTTAAAGTCTGTGGGGCGAGAGAAGAACGCATTATATAATATATAACGTAAAACAAATGATTAGAGATTTAGGCTTTGCTTGTTTTCATACATGCTGTATTGTTAACCTGTAGTGATCTTAAAGGACGGTTTATGGCTAGCTCCTTCTTATACCCTCAATATCTCAATTTCACTACTTGAATTACTAGCTGTATGGAGGCACTGACACGTATAGCATCATATGCATAAATCTATCTATACGCACACACTACATGCTATTAATGCATCGCATTAAAACAAGTAAAAGCATTTGGTCAGCTTTCAATGGTGAGCTGTGGTTATATTAGGGAAACAGATGCAAACGGCTTATGATTTATGTAATGCTATATATTTATATGCAAGCTGGCACAGTCAAAAATCTTGGCCAGCTGTCTTATATCTCCAATGTGCATTTCAGATTAATATAAATATCTTACTCATATATATATATATATATATATATATACACATGCACGTAAAAAGGAACAGTGTCTCACTATTCTTAATATGTAGACACACTTCCCATCATGCACATTATTGACAAATTCATGCACAATTTCTTCACTTGGCTATTACCTCAAGATTACCATTGTTTAGGACAAGTACAAATTCACACTTATGCTGATGCGTGTGCATGATTGCATCTGTACATGCGTGTGCGCATGTATTGATACTCTTTGATGTTTAATTAAACTAGCACCAGGTGTTTAATTAATCCAGCAGAGCTAGTTCTCTATCGAAGAACTACAAAGGATAAATGGCGTGACCATGCGTCATGCTCGTTTTTCTTCTCGAATGTGCATCATTCTACATATTCAAACCACGAGATGCCTTTAATGTCATAGAGCAACTATCGGAGCAGTTGTCACTAGCTGTTAACTGTGCTTACCGAGTCGACCTGCCTCCAGTCATCCTCACTGTGGGCTAAATCCCTGTCCGTGTAAAGCCGGCTCTCCCGCTCCCTTAACTCTCGTGACAGACTCATGTCTTCCAGTCGCAGAGGCCCAGATACATGAGGCATGCTCCCAGGGCTTACTCTGGGAAGACCAGGACTGATTGGGTGGAGCCTCTTAGATGGGTGCAATGGGTCACTGTAATGGTCCCCCACGCCATTTTCCTTTGGCCTACTGCAATGAAAAAATTACACACACTTCAACATAAATTGTGTGTTTTAGGAATTCGCTAAAAAGGGCCTATAGGTGGCAATAGGTGTTTCGTCGCTAACATGAAAACAACATGTGCCTACTTTACAGCATTTTTACTAATCTCATAGTGAACATCTTGTTACGAGTCTACCCACCTATCTGGCGTTCTACGCTTGCCATTATCGTTCAGTTCGCCACCAATTAAATCGGCTTGCTCGTGCATGGGAGGTGTGGAGCGCGCAGCGAGAATGATGTGTTCATTCCGGCTGAGATACTGTGCTGGAGTCTGCTTAGCCATTCTCGCACAGTGCAGCAGCTCTCTCTGTAACAACGGCAGGTTTGCCTGCAGAGAAAACGAATCATCAATGCAATGGCTCACTCGGTTATCAAATAGTTCCTCTCTCAACTTCCTGTAATATTTTATCACTGCAGAGATCATTATGCTGTATGAAGATGAAATCATTAATCTCTCATATAATCTTCAGCTAGTCCCTCTAAAGGAGTCTCTTTAGGTTTTACAGACATATAAGATTCATGCACATAAGTAACTATACAATCAATTAAAACCACAAAATAATACGTATGCGTTTCATAGTTTGAAGTGAACAAGTCTTAGTGAAGTGATAGTGCTTAGATTCATACTAACCTTTAGGAACGGGATAACAAACGGCCGAAGTGGAAAATTCGTTGCCTCCTGCAATTTTGCATGAAAATCCTCAATTGATATCGTTGAATTCTGAAACAAATAAACATACACTGCTGACATAGACCAATATGACGTCTAACAGAAACGTTAATCCTAGCAAATAATGAGTTTCTCACAATACCATATATTACCCCGTCATAAAACCTGTTATAGACTATACAGCTAGGGAAAGACTCTTCCTCAGACATAAACCTATACTATGCTCATCCTGTATTCAGGAAGATGCCCTGCCACTATGCAAATGAGAACTATTATTAAACCAGTCACTGCAATCAGTTGTGTCCCTTGTGGGGTAAGCGCAACTGGTCTTATTTAGTATATGCAGTGTAGTTTCGATGGTATGCATTGCATGTGGTATGTTGCAACTATGGTATAACTCGCAGCATTCCGTACAGTTTTGTGAGCAGCTCTCTAAAGCTTGACTAGGTTACAAGGGTCTCACGAATCATTTTGGCATGGGACACTCTTTCTTTGTTGGTTGGACACTGTAGCCTAGTCTCGTAGAATTGTACATAACGTGATCGGGAAATAAATCAATAGAAATCTCAAACATGGCCTCAGGAGGAAATACGATTAAATGTGTACACACGGTAAAGCTGAATTCATGCTATCGACTGATTACATATCTAACCACCCTTACTCAATCGAACAAGCTAAAAATCTGATCCAATGCTAGTCTCTACCGCGCGTCTGGCATTCGGAAACCACACAAGCGTTTTTCTGAATCGGTTGACTGCGGCAAGGTCAACTCGCGAAAGTTATAGCGGGGGCTATCGCAGCACTCACAGCGCGCTGTTACGCAAGCAGCGGACACGCCACCACTACGTCAGCATGCTTTGTGTATTGCAAATTGTCGTGCGCGATATGTAAAGTGGATGACTCTCGGGGGGCATTGCGAGGCACTCCGGATACAATCAGTGCAGTCTCTCAGGCGACACTCGGCCTCACTGCAGTGCACTGATTGCCGGCATCCCTTTGTACCACCATTATTCCGCCGCAGAAAGGGAGCGACGAGAATGGACCGGGGCCACTAGGCTTCTAAAGGAATAGAGTTGGAATGGGAGTTAAACAGTGTATTGTGTAATGCATCTCTTGCAGAGAACTGCACATTAGTCCGACGTGGACATATCATTGCCACCAAAGCTGCTGCATTGTCTATTTTGCACGTAAAAATATAGTCCCGTCTATTTTACATATGATGTAATCAGTGACGTCATGTAATATCAAAGATGCAAGCTTTTAGAATTTTTACATTTTGTGCACTTGATAATATAAATCATTAACAAATATGACCTTTTCCTTAAATTTGAGGCACATTATACGTTCATACGTTTCATAAATTCTATGCAGTACTACTAATAAATGCTGAATCATATTGTTCCACAATTTTCTAACAAAGTAAATTGCTCATGAATTGAACAGTGTTACTCAAAATACGATACTTTAGAACTAAACATATAACCATTACATATGGAATACGGCGATCCATCTAACAGTACAAATGAATTTAGATAAAATGAATGATGAACAATGAGCAATTCACGATCAATAACAAATGCTATATATTAATTCAAAAAGCAATCGCTAATATGTTCTCTATTGCTATAGACGTTTGTTAAGACAGGAGGAAGAACAGCAGGAGAAACGTACACACATTTCCGATTCGCAGCAGCCGAACAACATAACCAGACGCCCATCTTCACTCTAGCATCTCTAGTTATTCTAGCACTGCAGTATCTCGCACATCATCATCATCACCATCATCATCATCATCATCATCATCATCATCATCATCATCATCATCATCATCATCATCATCATCATCATCACCATCATCATCATCATCATCATCATCATCATCATCATCATCATCATCTTCATCATCATCATCATCATCTGTCGTCCGTGGACGGAAGGGAGGAAGCATCAACAACGTGTTGGGTTCACCTATCAATCTCGCACATAAATGAGGATATAGCATTATGCCCTTACCACTAGGCCTAGCACGAGTGTCCGCACCCTCTCTCCGATCTCTGGTGAGATGTCAGAGCCAAACTGCTGCAGTGTGGTGAGAAATCGCTTCAGCTTGCTGAGTTGGCGGGCACCGCAGGCAGGTGGCAATTGTTGCTGCGGTGATGAGTCGTGTGGTGATGGGGATCGCCCATTAACACTGCCGTGCGGGGAGAGGCTTCCATTCAGTGCTGCAAGACAACAATCCGGTCAGTCAGGTAGTACGTCTACCAGGTAATGTGGCAAGAGGCTATACCATTCAGTACTATAAAACAACAAAAATAAAAAACCAAACACGGTCAGTCAGGTGTACATGCATCTATCAGGTAATGATACAAACGACTTCGCACAGAATGCAGAAATAGGTTCATATATATGGTTAACATAGGACTATTGACAGCTAGGCTGAACACTGTGCAGATACATATCGATAGAGCAATCCGGATAGCTTAATTGAAAATTGCAAAACCCAGAAGGAAACCATGGAAGCACTATTTTTCTGTTGTGCATTTTAATTATAACAGCGTATGGAAATGAAGTTATGAGTGAAACGGCGAGTTTATATGTGGTAACAGACTTGTGAGACTGTTCATTACAGTGCTAGTTTACAGCTCAATAACATCAGGGTGGGTAAATAAAGATATCTATAGAATCTATAGATATATTTATTTACCCATATAGTTGAATGACATTAGCTTAGTTATTTATATCCGATTATTTACACAATGATACCAATACCGTTCTAAACAACATCAGCTATTTGCTTAAGATATACGTAGACGAGTTATGTAGCCCGATTTGTATGCCTATATTTGTAACATAACGTTTTTAAATGTGTAAGTCTATTACTGTGACCTTCATCATCAAAAATAGGTACAGCCTATATGCTCCACCTACCATTTTGATAATTTCTTAGTGAATAAATCAACGACGAACATTCCGCTTGAGGTTCAAAAGATCAACAGACAACAGCTTCCTTCAATAACCCAGCAATTCGTATGATTTGCATCCCAATAGTGTCGAAAGTATAGTAAGGTTGGTGACAAATTAAGCGTGAACAGTGGTGGTGCAAGAGATGACATAATTCAAATTACAGAATCGTTTACATTGTGTGCACGTAATGATCCAGAAATTAGCAGGAAACATTGACAAAGTGAAAAAAAAAATTCAAAATATGTTAAAGTGAAAACAGTTAAACAGTTAAAACACTGTTGCCGTTAGAATTATACATATCTGTTCTAAATTCTCTAAATACATATCTGTTGAAAATCTCTTAATGTATTAGTGGAAGTACGAGGAATTTCACTGTAGCATTTCTCGGAGGGACCTTAACAGCTCATGACTCAACTGGTACAAAAACTATCTGTCAACAACAATAAACAAGCTGAGCTCTTAAGTGCAATAATAATCGGCGTGGCCCGACCCAAATTGTTTTATCCTGTTACTCTTGTCAAATTCAATAACCATTTCAATTTTAGACACATATAAGGTTTGTCATGCACTTTTCTAAATAACACAATGTAAACTACAAACAAACAGATGATTCTATTTCAACAGCAATGCTGAAAAAGATGCAACCACCATAGGCGATTTTTTCGGTATGGATTTTGAGAATACAAATGTAATCAAATAATGTAATACAAAAGAAGACCAAATACAATTTTGTCCAAGATGGTGTGTAACACTGCAAGATCTGATTATTGACCACAGCTCAATGTGAATTACAACGTTAACTTACTTGTATTGGCTATAGAAGCAGGTCTGGGCATGCTTTCTGTGACAAGTGGCGCAGGAGATGTCTGTGACTTGGTATCTGGTGAATCAGGCATGTTGTTCTCACGATAATCTGCAATTAACGCAGAAGAACATCATACACAATTGAACCAATACTTGCTAGGTCGTTGATATGAACACCAATGATTAAATTAAGGCGAAATGAATGACTGCTCCGTGCACGATAGTTGAGAGCAGAACATTATAAGGTGAAAATACTCACGAACAGTTCACGAGAACGTAAAATCCCAATACTGATATCAAACACATCAACATCTGACGTCTGACCAAAATACACGTGCAGGTCAGACCTACCAAAAGCAATCTGAAATACAGTAGCAACCACCTTCTTTCTCTAACACACATAAAACTCCGTTGATTAGCGCAACCACTGCGATGTCTGTCTCCTGCATATATCGAAAGAAGCACAAACTCGAGACAGCTGAGAGACGCGGCCCGTACACCAGGTGCGGCGTTTCACCGCTCTGCTATTTATGTAGCACTGACCTGGATCGCTTGAACAGCACGCTGTCATCCGGCGCTCACAACGCTTATTTAGGACCGCACAGGTGGCTAAGTCAGGCAACTCTGAGACCTGCTACAACACTAGCTCTAGCCGATGAGGTTCGCCGCTAACAGACAAAGGATGGGGGGAGGGAAAGAGTGATAACAAAGAGCCGCGGTGCAAGTTATGTAAATACGTTGCTCATTGAGCCAAAAGACCCCCACTCCCTCATGGCTAGGAAATCACCTAAGTAGTAAATCTCTTTGTGAATCCTATAGTAATGAAGAGAGGTTTCCACCAGCCATGTGCATAGTGCACCTGGTTACATTGACAATATACCAGCTGAAGTATTATTTATTTATACCAAGCATTTTACACTGCTCCTTTACTAATCACTCTCTTTGCTATCAGACCAAACTAGGCCGAGATAACATGAATGCAACACTTATTCTGTTACCTAATTCTGCAACAAACACCTTCCATTGGGGTGCATTGCCTCGTTCAATTATACACCGTTTGATACATTATCTGAATGAGATTTATTTCCATGCACGCCTTTATTACAAAAATATTTTGCACTTCATATTAGTTTCTTAAATTACGTAATCTGAATATAGTAAAAACGTGTTGTATAAAATCGCGAAAGGGGTAACTGACTGCATGAGGCCATACTGACCTCACAAGCCGATGTGAATTAATGGCAGCCAGGGCAATCGGTCTAACATAAGGCGCATTTTGCTTTGCCAAAAGTGCTGTCGTTTGTGAATTGTGTCATATCGTTAAAAGCCTGCATGACACTAGCTATTCTGTCATCACAGAAATGCTAATAAATAGCCAACACCCACATAGTGCCATTAGTAGCTGGTGTCTAGTGTAAGATACAGTGAAGATCCCAACTCTTGATCACAAATCTGTATCATTGAGCTTAATTCGTTCTGCGTATATTACAATGCTGTTCCTGAACTAAACATAGACGGGGACTGGCATGATATCGCTACTTGCATTACCATTGTTACGGGGAGCAATTACAACTCCGCTCCAAGCCGCAATGCGCAAGAGGTCCTTTATGAGATAGAAACAATAATATTATGCAAGGCGCGTATTAATCCACTAAGCTACGTGTACCGTGTTTGGCATCGGCGACGCACCTGGCCACATTATGCAACGTATCTGCCAGCATCACCTACATTGCAGCTGCTTTCGCTGCACAGACAAGGCCCTGTCACATGTGCACACACCCGCACGCGCACGCGCACGCGCACGCACACGCACGCACGCGCACGCACACGCACACGCACACACACACACACACACACACACACACACACACGCGCGCGCGCGCGCACACACACAGGCGTACTCGTATAATAAGGGCACCCTGTGAATGCGCGCAACTGGCTCGCCCTTGAGATGGGGAAACTGGACCAACTGGCAGCACAGCTGCTCCCTTATATGTAGTGGGTTGGTGACAGTCTATGTCTCGCCAGCCAGCAAACGAGTGAGCACAGCTGTACAATCAGCAACAGCTTCTGGCACAACAAAGGTGCAAATGAAAGTATCGACTGGGTTACGACGAGGACACCAACATCTACAGATGCCGCGTTTGAGACAAATTTGCATGGATGCATACTTCCCTGTCACACGAAGTATACGAGACGAGCGTCATACGGTGTTGACAATCTATATATAGTAGTGGTAGTATGACACAGCAGTCTCGGGCCCTGCAGAGCAATATGATAAAAAAGACCATCTACAGATGCCGCGTTTGAGACAATTTTGCATGGATGCATACTTCCTTGTCACACAAGTACGAGACGAGCGTCATACGCTGTTGACAATCTCTCTCTTTATATATATATATATAGCATCAGGAGTCTATCAATATATATTGATAGACTCCTGATAGCATCACACAGCACAGTATCGCCCTGCAGAGCAACATGATAAAAAAGACTTTCCTTTCCAGAGCGCAGAGTGCCGTCGGATTGGTTCACCTTTCCACGTTTTCACATCAAAATCACAGTATCTCATTCGCCGCCCATACGCTTATCAAATTTCTACTCGTACGTTATACATGTGTTATGCGAGTGATTTTAATTTAGTGGCAATGTACCGACATCAGTGAAGACGCAAATATAAGATAATCCTGCAAAGTAAGATAATGATCTAATATGCGCACCCACGTCAAATTAACGTCCAACAAATGTCCTTATCTATGCGCGGGTAGCAAACACTAAAAATTTCATATAATGAAAGTGTCAATGACACTGTAGCTCACCTTGGGTGTGATAAAAGAGGGAGGTGTGTATATAAAGCAAGAGTATATATGGGAGAACTCCCATTATATAGCATATCTCCCATTATATACTCTTGATAATGATGATATATGAGTAATTTTTGATGCGAAAATAAATGTTTCAGATCTGTTAGCATACAATCTGATAGCGTTGACCGTAAGCAGACACTGAACTGCATAGTGAAATTGCAAAAATATACATAATTTGCATAATTTAAAAAATATATAAAAACCCGTGTGATATGTTTTGGGGCCAGTTCTTATTCATTCACATACCAGAATTGAGCAAAATCCGTTGAACTTGAACTGACTTATGGCCATTTCCATTTTTACCAAAAAGTGGACGTCGCTCCAAAATAAGACGTTCAAACCTCTCTCATAGGAGTAACAACTATATGCAATTTGAAACATGTGGGTCAAACGGTTCCTGAGTTATCGTTGACCGTAGCCAAATGTTGACGGACGGACGGACGGACGGACGGACGGACGGACGGACGGACGGACGGACGGACGAACGGACGGACGGACGGACGTACGACGGACGACACCCCATGGCAATAGCTCATCTTGACGATGTCAAGGTGAGCTAAAAATGGGCGGGGGGATCATAAAACGTCTTCAATTGCACTGCGATTCCTTTGCCGTTACAATGACTAAATAGGATCATAAAGCGGTTATTCTCCTACTGTCCAGCTGACCGATGGAAACAGCAATGAAGGCGAAATTCAGGCACAACAGACCTGTAATGCCATGTCGGGTATATCAAATAATATACTACTATATACGCACATGCATCGACCTGCCTGCAAGGCCAAAGCAATAAATAGAACAATCCACGTGTTATAGGCTCCCGGGCTTCACGAACCGTCACATGTAAACACTGTGTGCACAAAACGCACGGGGGCTCGTTTGATGGTGCCAATCTTTATGTGAGGAGTACATAGATTGTCACGGCGCAGATCTCCTCTAGGTATAAATTTTGCTAATCATTCGATACGCGCCTCCTTCGCGACTCCGTCCGCGGACCTCATTACGGTATACTAAATACTAAATAGCAAAGGCAGCTATTCTCAGTAACGCCCTAGACTATTGACTATTGGCAGACGACCGCACATGATTAGGTTCGTAAAGCCACAATCTAACTACAGTTCCCTCAAGCTATCGTGTAGAACGCAAGCGCACAAAGCTGCAGCGCGAACACTAATGATAATAATGTACCGTTGTCCGACGACATGCCGCATAGTAGAATTCTATACGCTCTTTCCGGATCCTTCCTTCTGTCAGCCCAGAAGCCGCAGCAACTCGGCGCATACACACACACACACGAGCGCGAGCGCTCACACTAACAGATTGTCTGTTGCAACGGCGTATATCCGCGCCACCAGGCGGTACGGGGACAGCTGGCGGTCAACCACAAGTGCCGCAACAACGTGAATGAATGAAATGACCCCGCTACTACCAGCAGTAGCAACAGCAGCCAGCACCCGCGACAGATCCACACAGCATATGCCGGTACATGTACAAAAGCTGCAACCTTTGTGTGCCCGGACAATGCACGGTAGCGGCAGCTGGTTGGCTTGGCAGCACGTGTCGGTTGGCGGGTATGTCGGCCCGCCTGCCTGCCTACCCGCTGTCGGAAGGAGCTACACTGCTTGCCCAACAAATAGCGTCTAAATTGCTTCGGCAAATGAGAAGGCTGGCTAGATGAACAGATTAACTGCTATTGCTTAGCGCAGCGCAACATTCATAACGCCTACGACGCTCGCATATCCTTAGCAGACGTAACGTAATATTCCGTCTTACCACAAACGCGCGACGCAATCAAATTTGTTCGTAATTACGGTATCCCTCGTTGCACATTGCGCATTAAAACTTCATCCATACGTGAAAATCAAATAAAAACATCTCATCTGAATTTTTTATCATGTAAATTCCGGATTTCTAAAAAAAGAAAGAAAACTAGGTTCCAGACACTCGCTGTGGCATGAGCCGACACTATAGTGTCGCATCTAGCTAGACGTCGATACCATTATTTCACATAAAATTTAAACTCCGAAAGATCCATTATTGCAAGCGACGCGAACAAAAGTGAGACAATTGCCGAGCAAATTGGCAATGTAGAAGAAGTAGAGCTTGTAACACCTGGCAACCGCTGCGAGGCAGCTCGTACGGAGAGATTACATAACTCCGTGCAGATGGCCAATCTACAGGCAAATAAAGGCAGGCATTGCCAGGCAAACAGATAGACGCGATAGCGTAAATGGGTATTAAT